AGGCCTGCTGGCGGTGCAGGACTTACCCGCACCAGGGCACCTGCGTCCTCGCAGACTGACCGCCTGAAGCAGAGTCGCACGAAGTGGTCCGGGCTCCCAGGGGCCTCAGGCACCTGCACCATGATGGCCTTGCGCTTGCGGTCCACCCAGTAGCTGAAGTTTCCCGCTGTAGGAGGTCAGCAGAAGTGGCTGGGGGGACCAATGGTCACCGACCCAGGGGGTCATGGACACCTGATGGCCCCGAGCTAGCGATGCCTGGTTGGTCCAGGTGTTTGGGATTCACATCTCTGAGGACCCACGACTTCCCAAGTAAGCTGAGGACACCAGCAGGTGACGCAGCCTGGGCCAGCAGGGAGGGTCTTCCTGGGTGTGGGGCTGTGGTCCCATCCGAGGGCAACTCACCGAAGCAGTCAGGCAGTCTCCTCCCCACGTCCTGGTCTCTGCAGTCTGCAAAGTCAGAGGCAGAGGTGGGCCCAGCTGGGGGCGGGGGGGTGTGGGGTTCTCTCCAAGGCTGTGGACCCTAACTGGGCCAAAGATATTTGCCGAGCTCTGTGCTGGGCGAGTCCCAACCTGTTGTTCCCTAGAGGCTCCCCCTCAGGCTCCCACCTTCCACCTGGTAGTGCTGGCCCAGCTGGATTCCGCAGAAGTGGGGGACAGTCCTCAGGGTGACGTAGAGGGGCTGGGCCACGCTCACCCTGAAGCAGTCGAAGTGCACCTGGAGCTGGACAGGTTCAGGTTTGAGCCGGGTGGGCCCTGAGGCCCCTGCACCATCAGCTGGGCTGCACGACTGGGGCCCAGGGTTGGGCCCACACGGAGGGTTCAGCCTCAGCATCAGGTCAGCCAGCGGGCCCTGGCCTCACCTGATGCTCCACCTGCAGCCGGCGGGAGGCCCTGTGGATGCGCACAGTCTGGCAGTGCACCTCCTGGGTGTCCAGGCCGGTGGAGCAGACCTCCAAGCCTCGCAGGCCCTCTGGGGGAGGGAAGGCCAGCAGGGCATGTCAGAGCACGCTTTCCCTCGGCCTCCACTCCCAAGCGCACTGGCAGTGCCCACGCGCCCAGGTCTTGGCAAGGAGGCGAGGACCCTGTGCCCCAGCGTGACCTCTGTCTGCCCAGCAGCGGGCGGCCACGGCCACCTCTCACCGTGCAGTGTGACGGAGGCGAGCACACGGAGGAGCAGTGAGCAGCGAGCAGCAGGGGGACACTGCATGCTGGTGGAGAGCGCCAGCGTCTGTAGGACCGAGCTGGGCAAGGCCATGGGGGGCGGCCGGCAAAAGCTGTTGAAAATGTTACCTGAGGAAGGACGAGGAGGTGGGGTTCCCAGCGCCTGGGAAGGGCTTTGTGAAGGGCCCTCAGTCTGGGCCCTGGGGATGGCTGGCCCTCCCTGAGCTTCACTCAGAAGTGTCTGTTGACACCAGGAAGCAGAGACATGGGGAAGTGGGGGGCCCCAGGCAAGGAGCAGGCTGCTCCAGCCCACAGCCCAGTGTAGGGAGCTGCTGCCCTGCTTGGCCAGTGAGGGTGGGTGGAGGAGCCTGCCCTTCACTCACTGCCAGCCCATGGCCAGGTTCAAAGCCCAGTGACAGGAAAGGCCAGCACAGGCCCACTGGGGTCAGACACGGCCCCAGGGGCCCATCGAGGGCTCTGTTCACAGGAAGCAGCCATATTCTCATAGGTTAGCCTGGCCCTGGGGGCCCTGTCCAGGCCTGGGCAGCTGTGTAGACCCACATGCTGTGCAGGGCAGTTTGGCTCACTGTGGGCAAGGCAGAGCGCAGCCAGGCTATAGGGTTGGGGCTCAGAGCGCAGCCAGGGGGCCACAGAGCTCTAGTGAGGTTGGGCCCACTAGAATGGGCAGCCAGGGCTCCCTCCTGCACCGTCCTGTCATGGCTCACCCATGGTCCCCCGAAGTTGGGGAAGCAAAAGCACAGCCCAGAAGCCAGGCAGGACCACGAGAAGTGTCATCAGGCCTGCCTGTGGGTCAGGTGCGTGGCACATCCCAGAGACGGGTAGTGGGGGCTGCGGGCATGCGCCATGGGGTCCCGGGTCCTGAGCACACTGGCTCTGAGTGTCCAACACTGGGACCTTCGTGGCAAACCCCAGGGGGAGTCTCAGGAAAACCACTGCCGGGGCTAAAACTCAGAGGGAAGGTGAAGGGGAGAAGGAGTGGGGACCCTTTCAAGGTCAGGTGGGCTGGAAATGCCAGAGAGGGAAGGGGAGGAGAGTGGGAGGGGGGGCACAGTGAAGCGCTCTCTGAGCAGAAGAGCGGCCGCAGCAGTAAAGGCTCCCAAGGCCCCAGACAGTCAAGAACAGGTGAGGCCAGGGCCTGCCAGTTGCACGGGACGGCCAGGAGCAGGTGTCCCCCTGAGCCCTGGGCTTACAGGCTGCAGCTTCCACTCAGGGACCCACACAGCTGGGTGACAGAGCAGGTGTGCCTGGAGGGCAGGCTGCCTGACTGTGGACCCCGAGCCAGAGGCGCGCCAGGCCTGGGGCTGAGCAGTTGTGAGTCACGCAGTGGAGCCCGTTCTCAGCACGGGGCCTGGCAGCAGAAACAGGTGCTCTGCTGGACCAAGGGAAAGGAGCCGTCTGGGCAGCCCCAGTGTAGCCAAGAGAGCATTGCAGGGATCGGACCTGCCCTCCTGCCTAAATACCAGGGAAACTGCACTACCGCGTCCGGGATCCGGGGCAGCGGTCCCCGGAAGACGAGCGCGTGGCTGCCTGAGAGCGGGCCAGGCATGGCAGGGGAGGAGCTGGAGTTTGTCACCAAGACCCACAAACAAGGTAGCTGAGTGGGCTCTCTTTAGGAAGGAAGCGGCACGGGGGTAAAGGACAGCAGGGACGATGACCGCAGCCACAGGCCGGGCCTTTCCACAGTCATGGCACTGCAGGTCTTAGACCGCACATAAGGCCAGCTGGTGGTGTGGTGGTTAGGGCGGATCCCACATGGCCAGCTGCATGTTAAGAGTCCCAGACTCAGTGGCTTGAAAAACATACCAGGGGTGTGTATGTGTGTGTGCCCAAAACCCTGAGAGGAGAATGGAGGGGAAGGGGTTGCAGCACGGCCATCCCCCGGGGGGTGGATTCTCACTTTCTGTGTCTCTCCAGCAAGTGCACAGGCCCTCCAGCAAACATCTCTCTAAAATAAATAAATGAAATAAAAAGGAAACAAGAACAAAACAAAAATGTCTAATATCCACTCAGCAGCTGGCCCAACAGCCACACGAACAGCAGGAACAGGTCATCTGGTCGCGGACGGGGGCCTGCCTCAGGGACCCCGCAGTGGGCTCCAAGGCCCCGGGAGCCCCGCCTTGCTCCTCACCTCCCGTGGGAACCCTGAGGAGTAATGTCTCCTGTGAAGAAGCACTCATGAGCCAGAGCCAGTTGTGTCTGTCCTTCCTATCACGTCCCGTCCAGGTGCAGGGGACAAAGCCCTCAGATGCCGCAAGGCCACTCCCTCCTGGAGCCCTTCTGGCCGTGCGCCCACTGTAGTCACGCCTACCCTACGGCTAGTGGGCCTGCGGTATCCCCCAGGAGACACCCACCACCAGTGAAGGCCGTAAAGCCGTTCTGACAGCCCAGGGGCGCAGTCTACACTGGGAGGAGGAGTGCGGGAGGGAGCTTTCCTCCCATGGCTGCCCCGGGAAGGCTGGCAGCCCAGGAGCAGGAGGGCGGGGGCGGGGGCAGGATGGCGCCATGGCAATTCAGCTTGCCCAGGGGAGACCCAGGTCCTCAGCGGCCCGCACCCACACGAGGGGCCGAGATGCACTACTCACGGTTCACACGGCTCGTGCAGGAGAAGCCCTGTGGACAGAACCGGGAGAGGAGTGAGGGCCGGGAGACACTGGGCCTGTCGCCCCCTTTGCCCCGCCCTGGGGTCCCGTGCCTCGTCCTGCCCCCTTTCTCCCCAGGAAAGGCCAGCCCGAGGCGGGCACAGGGCAGTCCCTCTGGATCTCACAGGCCAGCCCTACCCTCCTGTCTGGAGTCCCTGGGCACTGACTGGGCACCTACTGTGCACGGGGCCCCCTGAGAGCCAGCGCACGAGCACAGACGGCCGGCGGAGGCAGGGGGGCAGCCGAGCAACCCCAGGAAGGCGTCAGATGGACATGGCGCACACCAACGCAGAGCTGGGCACAGACAGGGCAGGAGGCTGGGGCAGGCTGTGACCTAGGCCGTTACCCAGGCGGGCTTATGAGAACCTTGAAGGATGTGAGGGCAAGAATCGTGGGGTGTCCTGGGCACCACAGTGCCTGCCTGGGGAAAGCCCTTTCCAAGCTGAACCGGCCCCACTCCTGCCCGCCTGAGGGAGCCCCTGGGTGTGGGGACCCAGGGGTCTGACCAGGCTCAGTGGAGAAGGGTCTGTGGGGAAAGGCTGTCCTGGCCACCTGGGGTGGGCAGGAACCGACTGCCCCCTGTCCCCGGGCTCCGGAGCCCAGCATGGGGCCAGGCCAGAGGCTTCACTCTTGGCCCAGGGCAGGCCCTGGGGACCACGGGAGTCCAGACCTAGATGGTCACTGGTGGGACCGGACTGTGAGGCCCGTGGTCAGCGAAGACCACACAGCACTTGAGCAGGACGGACAGAGGGGGGTCCTGTCCCCTGCCCACCCCAGCTGCCCTCTTCCTGCTTCTGCCAGTCAAGTAGTGACACTGGAGGTGGCCGGGCCACTCAGGCCTGTGAGCTGCCTGCCTGTCGGGCTCGTGAGTACAGTAAGGCTCTCTGTAAACCACCCAGCGGTGTTCCTTAGCCAGCCTGGGGGCACCGGGGCGCCTCCACACCTCAAGGTGTGTGTGCTGTTCCACGAGCCGGCCCGGGGACCATGTTGGGATCGCCGGAACCAGGCACCAGCGCTCGCTGACTTCTGCTCACCCTAGATCTCCCTAGAGGCTGTCCCTCCTTGGTATCCAGAGCCGAAACCCCGCTGGGGTAGGAGGCACTGATTGACCAGTGCCCTAACTTTGCAGGGGAGGGCAGCAGAGTCCCTGAGGCTCCTTGCCCAGAACTGGTCTGAGCAGGCCTGGGAACGGCCTGTGGGGGTGGCAGGGTGGGCAGCTCGCCAGCCCGGGAGCAGAGGCGGCAGGGCAGGCCCAGCCGGGTGGACCCAGCAGCAACACATCTGGCCTCCCTGGCTCCCTCTCACCACCTTTGAGACCCTCTGCCCTTGGGGCACGTAGAGCCATCTGGTGGCCTGGAGGCCCTCCCCTCCCATGGAGAGACAGAGCCCAGTGGCTGCCCTGGGGAGGGGCCGGCATGCTGAGTCCTGACCACCAAGCACTCCACCCTGCAGACACCTGGGCCAGGACTGGACGCCCTGCCTGTCTGGCGCCCCTGTGGTTCTGGCTCTGGGGTGCGGGAGAGGACCCCTGTCACCAGTTCTCAGGCTGACTGGCCTTGCAGTGGCCGAACCCTCTGCTGTGGACTGTGCAGCGCAAGGCCGGGTGGAGAGCACCTTGGGGTGAGCGCAGGCCTGGTGTCCCAGCTGGGGGTGGAGACACGACAGGCCGCAGCGATGGGTACCCAGGTGGGCAGTTACTGAGGAGCAGCTGCCCCCTCCCTGCCACGGGGAATCCCACGGAGCTTCTCGGGGCTTCCCAGTGGAATCTCTGGGGAACCCCAGGGGTGCTGTTGTGGGCAGGGCTGGGGTCCTGGAGGGCGGGAGGCCAGAGTCCTGGGTTCAGTTGTCCATGTCCTCTCGGTGCTAAGTGGGGGTCCGCGCTTCCTCCCGCGTGTGCTGTGGGCCGGGGCACTAAGGCCTCCCTGAGCCGGGTTGTCGCCCCAGCCACCCACACTGCGTTCCCGCCACTGGAGGGGTCTCAGTTTGTGGAGCCCTCGCTCTTGGGCTCCTGGTCCTGGCTCAGCACCCTTCTAGCCAGACACGCCCGTGACCCCATCTTGCCAGCAATCCCCCTGCCCCTGCCCTGCCCCTGCCCCTGCCCTGCCCCTGCCCTCGACACAGCAGCACGGCTGCGCCCAGCTGCCCGGCTCTCTCCCTGCGGGTCCCGGGCCTGGGTAGCACTGGGTGGCAGGCCCTCCCCTCCGCACCCACAGCTCCTCCCGCTGCCGCCTGCCCCCTTCCTGGAGGGCTTTCTCCTCACAGTCAGCGGGCCTTGGCCCTCTTGAAAGCCACAGCAACACCCCTGCCCTCTGGCCTCCAAATGGCTTCTCAGACTTGAACTCCAAAGTCACGTTTCCACCCCAGACCGGCCCTCAGGAACCAGCTCCTCCATGGCCCAGGGCTGTCACACACTCTAAGGTGCTCATTCCTCCTTCCCTAGCCACAGGGTGCCCCAGTCCTGCCCCCCCCCAGCCCTCATCTCCATGCTGGGCGCGCCCAGGCTGCCTCCCTCCCACCTGGCCCTAGCCTGTCCCCCACATGCCCCGGGGGGGCTGCACCTTGATCTGAGCACTCTGGCCACCCTGCCTACTCTGTTCCCCTCTGAGGCCCCTGCCGGACACTCTTGGGCCTTGTGGGGGCTGTGGGAGTTGCCCAGGTGGCCTTGCCACCACCCCTGCAGGGCACACGTGGGCCCTCTCCAGGCTCTTTCTCTTTAGCAAGCCCCACCTGCCCCCAGGAGCTGCACCTTCTCCCCCAGCCCCGGGACGCTGTGCTCTTCCCCTGCCCATGCCCTGCTGTGCTGAGGTTGCCAGCATGGTCCCCAGGCCCCAGAGACCCTAGGCCTCCCACAGCCCCCCGGTGCCGAGTCCTTTGCCTGTCACTCACTGCTGTGCTGAGGCTGAGGGCAGAGCCCACCCGGCTGGGGCGTAGCAGCAGGACTCACCTGAGAACAGAACACACCACAGCCTGCAAGGCGGGGGGCAGCCAGGCTCCGGCAGGTGCCCCAGGTCAGGCAGAGGAGTACGAGAGCTGGCCCAGCCCGCGTTAGCCCACGGTGTGCCATGTGTGAGCAGCTCGAGGGTGCCAGGTGCCCTGTGGCAGCCAGTCGGCCGACCCAGCAG